AAATGGGAGATGAAAGGGCCTCATAAGTGGAATAGCCTAGGGCCTCTTTTCATCTAAATCTGGTCCTGGCTACAAGGTTCAAAGAATAACCATGCTCTATCAATTAAAAATGACCTGAAAAACTTACCTCTGGGGTTCTTTTGGTGCTCTCTGTTCTTGGTTATTTGCTTACAGACATTTCATTAGCCAACTTAGTAACATCACAAGGCACAATGAAGTTACTTAGTCGCATGACGAAATGTCTGCAAACAAACTAAGTTCAGAGAGTACCAAGAACTCCACAGTTCAACCCCGAGCTACCCGTCTTTTAATGGGTATTTGTATTTTATCACTAGGAAAACTCTTTGGGAGGCCACAGTATTTAGAAATTCAGAATGCATGTGCTAATTTATAATCCCCCTCCCATTATTTTACTATGTTAACTTACTTAAATGTTCCTAATAGCACGATATGCGTGTGAGAGACACGCTTGCAACCATGTGTTCCAGTATGGTAATTGGAAAGTTTGGGGTTTTGTTCCACTTTCCTTTTTTTACACCTAAAATAATTTAGAATTATTTATTGTACCGAATTATTTAAAGTATATAGAATTTCAGAATTTAAAAATCCTGCATTCCCTAGAAAGGGTCAAGGGGACTGAATGGGTGCTGTAAACACTGCAGGGTGGACCAGTTCCTAAAGTCTGCAAGCAGCAATTTACTTGTACTCATAAAGCCAGATATATTTGCTTAAGTTAAGTTTAGATTGGACAGTCGTTAATGTCCTGTAACAGTAAAAAAAAACAAAAAACTAATAAAATGAGACAAACCTCCCTCTCCATCTTCTGCTAGGAGCCATCATTTCTCTACTTCATTTCTTCCTCAAGCAAAGCACACCCTATAAGGACCTTATTCCAAAACATTTCATTTACTCACTACACAGACAAGGGGCGTTTTGATTAAGGAGCAGAAAACATCCAGAATACAAAGCAACTCACACCTGCTATCACTAAGCAAACAGGGAGAATAACCCTGTAGTATACTCTCATCTGTAAACGTCTGCTTGCATTTTCCACGATGTGGGAGAAAGGCACAGAAGACCGTTCAGAAAGGAAAGTCACTCTGCGTATGCTCAGAGACGCTATGCTCCCTCGCTTGCTCAGCCCCCAGATGAGGGGTAGCAATGCAAAGGCTTGCAACTCGACCCGCCGCTCTCCACCCGATTCCACTCCGGGGAAGGCTTGGCGGGGACACTCTTACCTTGTGCTCCCGGACGCCCGAGCTCATAGAGGCGGCAGCGGCGAGCGCCGCGTCCCGCGGAGGGCGCACACGGGTTGGCGGGAGGGGGGGAACGGAGAAGCCGCGGAGCCGCTTTGTGCCGCGAAGTCGGGGGTGCAAAAGGTCCGCGCGCCCGCCTACATCGCCGCCGCGCGCCGCCCGGGCTTCGTGGGGAAGGGCGCGAGAGCAGCCCCGCGCCTGCAACTTGCCCGCCTCGCCTACAATGGAAGAGCAGAAGGAGGCGGCTGCTTGCAGCAAGCGCTACCTCTGACCCAGGAAACTAACTCAACGCTGCCAAGCGGCCCCTGTTCAAACAAAGCCAAGAAGCCTCCTGATGCAAACGCCAGAGCCCCCTGCTGGACGACGGGGGATCTGGCAGCGGCCTGCTGGGAACTCCCTGCCTCAATGGCAGAGCGAGGGGGTGTGGGTCTCTGAGCTTGTGCAGAGTGCCTTTGGGGCCTCGCACCAAAGGCCTTCCAGCTGCGAGAGCATTTGAGCAGATTTAGGGAAGTGTAGGTCTTGAAAATTCCTCTTTTTGCTCANGGAAGGAAGGAAGGAAGGAAGGAAGGAAGGAAGGAAGGAAGGAAGGAAGGAAGGACATTATAAAGAGAGAGGGGGAGGGTCTGAAGGAAGTCCTGCCTTAGCACTTGGCCATCACAGGTGTTCCCGACACGAGTGATGTTGAGCTGGCCACACCCACCCGGGTCATGCCCACCCTTCCCCTCTGAGGTCAAACACAACCCCTGAGGCGGCCCTCAATGAACTCGAGTTTGACACCCCTGGCCTAGGCCAATGTTTTTCAACCTTGCCAAGGTTAAGATGTGTGGACTTCAACTCCCAGAATGCCTCAGCTGCCTCCTTAATTCAGGTACACATTAACATAGCTTTCAGGGTAAAGGTCCAGTTTAAAGTCCATTGGCACTAGCAAAAACTTGTTAGTTCACAAACCCTGTGCTTATATAATGGATAAAGCCAAGAGGTCAACTGGCTTTTTCGACCTGTCACTTTTTATCCAGCTGGAACAATTACAACTGGCGGTAAAAGAATTTGGGAGAAGCAACAGATTAGACCCAACATACTGTATGAAACACTCTCTTCCAACTTTACTTCTGGATTCGGTCAAAGTATGAACCCTAAACTTAGGGTAAGAGTCAGTGGTGGGTTCCAGATCCCATGGTTGTAACAGGGCCCGGCGTCCTCCACATGAACACGCGCAGCACACGCGCACACACGTGCAGCGCACGCATGCATCTTACCATCCACCGACGCTTCCGTGAGCCCCCATGACACTGCAGCTGCTTGGTGGAGCATCACGCAGGTGTTATATGCCCCATGTGCATGCGCAGAAGCGCCGAAGGGTTTAAAGACAGGTAAGGAGCAATGCCAGGCAGGTGGGCCCTCCGGAGCACCATACTGGAACGGTACTCGGTGCTCCTGGCAGGCTTCCGTACTGGGGCGTACCGCCTGCAACCCACCACTGGTAAGAGTCCACTGTTATGATATTTACCTTACGTAGGATGCAGGGGTGGGTTGCTGCCAGCATTACTGCCAGTTTGGTGCGCATGCAATTTTGCACATGCATGCTCGCTTTGATCCCACATGTGTGCGTAGTTGCCAATAAATAGGTCTGCGCATGCGCAGAACATTAACAAATGAAAAGAAAATGCCATGCCGACTGGGGAACCGGTTCGGAGGTGTGGCAGGCCTGGGTTACTGCTGGTTCCGGTGACCCAGGCCGCCAAAGCACTACCTGTTCAGCCGAACCAGTCTGAACTGGTAGGAACCCACCTGTGGTGTGATGCCTAAACTAATAAACCATATTGTCATAAGAAAATTCCGATAGGAAACAAAGGCAGCAACACAAACAATAATTCTTACTTTAAGATCAGCGGTTTATTGTTTCTAATAATTTGGAACATTAGAAATGAATAGATATAAGTGATATAATAGCAGTAATACACTGCATGAACATATTAATGCAGAGGGCCAATGAGATATAGCAAGTTCTACAAGGACTGCTATAAATCAAAGAGTCCCGAGCTGATCTTGAACTCTAAACCTTTATGCTGTTCTTCTAACCACAAACATGATTCATAACTTCACTAACTTTCACTATCCGGGAACACCTATGTACATTACTTTCCATTCCTCATTTCCAACAGTTTCGTTCTCCCTGCTTTAAACGAATCCATACAAGCGCATATTTTAGAAAAACGTATTTCACAGTTAGCAACAGTTCAGCAGGATTACAAATATTTCTGGTAAATTTTGAAATCATCCTAGCTGAAAGCATTGGTTCATATCTCTTTCTTCTGGGGCCTTCTATTATCCATAGGACTTATTGAATCTTATAGATCATTAGGCTATATTTCTTGATTCTCACAATATTATCTCTTGTCCTGCTGGCCACATCGCCAAAGGCAGTGAACTACTTCGAATCACGCATTATTTAAATCATAGTTAATGTGTTTGTAAAGCCACTCGGTGAATGTGATTCACTCCATGATGGAAGATTCTCACACTCCTTCCTATTGGGGTTTAAAGTTATGAAAATGGATGGCCCTGTTGGTGTCAAACTCAAGGCCTGTGAGCCGTATCCAGCCTGTGGGGTTGGGATCTGGCCCGTGGGGCCAGCTAGGAAACAGAGAAAGACCGGCCCATGGTGCCTTTGCCAGCAAAAATGGAGCTCAGAAGGGCCTCTGTGACCATTCTGGGCTCTGTTTTCACTGGCAGAGGATTGCAGGAGACAGTTGCAGCCAAAAACGGAGCTCGGGATTCCTTTGCTAGGAGAGCACTTGGGCCACCACAGGCGCCCCCTGACACAAGTGGTGTCAAGCTGGCAATGCCCACCCTGGCTACACAAACGTCCGAGGTCAAACACAACCTTCATGCGCCCCTCAATGAAATCGAGTTCGACACCCCTGCTGTAGACTAACATTTGATGCCAAATGGATTTCCCCAAGCAATCTATGTACATGGATATATATGAAATAAGTTTTATGTTGATATGGGAACAATAAGATGCTGATACCTTCAGTTTAGACATGGAACAAGCCAACGCTAACTTCTTAGAGCCCTTCATGTCACTTTTCGGATCCGCCGGGATGTCCTCTTTGTGGTTGTTTGCCTCGGTCTTGCTGACCGCCTTGAAGAAGGGACAAAGAAACAAAGATGGACAACATAATCAAACAAACTTTCAAAACTAGTGATAGAGGTGTAGATATTTGGAGGAAGCTAAGCTGAAGATACCACTGACTTCAAATGGAAGTGTTTATTTATTTTATTTATTTATTTATTTATTTATTTGTCTTGTATGCTGCCCACTCCCGGAAGACTCCGGGTAGCTCACAAAAGACAAGGGAAAGGGGGAAACGAGACAAAGACAACATACTAAAAACAAAACCAACATTCACAATTTCCGTGGAGGTAGATGCTTCTCAGCCCCCCCAGCCTGCTGGAACAGCCAGGTCTTGGTGGCTTTGTGGAAGGCCGGGAGAGTAGTGAGGGTCCGGATCTCTACG